TTAAATATGAAATTTTATGAAAAATGATAAGTTTTGATTGTAAAATGAATAAATTTGACTTCGATCAATATTTTGGGTAAACGGATCTGGATCCATGATTTGACGTTCCCGGATGGTCCGTAGGAAAATATGGGACTTAGGCGTATGCCCGGAATGGAATTCCGAGGTCCCGAGCCCGAGAAATGAATTTTTAAAGGAAATTAATTTCTGAAATTTTTTTTAAGAAAATTTGAAATGAAGTTTGATTAGAAAGAGATGGTATCAGGCCTGTATTTTGGTTCCAGTGCTCGGTACAGGTCTTATATATGGTTTAAGTCATTTCTGTAAAATTTGGTTGAAAACGGACGTCGTTNACGATCCGCGAAGAGGGTCTGAGAGGAGTATATTTAAACGGACTTTTCAGTTATTTTTCACTTTTCAAAAGCCCAAAAACATAAGAGGTAATTTTTCAAATAACATTTCTTCTCCAAATCAATTGTAAGTCATTTTTAACTAGTTTTCTTCAATCATTAACATCTTTTAACATGATTTCAACTTCAAATCAATTATTGTCATGGGGAAAATTGGGTGTTTTGGGTAGAACCTATGTTTTCACAAAAATGGGGATTTAGACCTTGATTTGAGGTCCGATTTCAAAACAAATTACATATTTGAGCTCGTGGGGGAATGGGTAATTGGCTTTTGGTCCGAATTTCAGGTTTGGACCAAGCGAGCCCCGGGTCGATTTTTGACATTTTTTGGGAAATCTTTATAAAACATATTTTCATGCATTAGAATTGATTTATTTAGTATTTATTGATATCGTTAAGCAAATTGTGGCTAGATATAAGCGAGTTGGTGGTGGAAAAAAGAGGTAAAGTTGTAATTGAGGCTTGAATGGTGTTCGTTGCATCGAGGTAAGTGTTTGGTCTAACCTTAGCTTGAGAGATTAGGAGTTGTGTCCTATTTACTATTTGCTTCTTGTCGAGTACGATGTATAGGCATGGTGACGATTATCTATACGTTGGTGTCAAGCATGACCGTGGGTCTTATATTGTGATTTTCATGATTTCATTGTATTATTCATGCCTTGGTGAAGATTTCTAATTGTTGTAAAAAGTTTGTGGAAAGAATTGTGACCTATGAACATTGAGCAGCGTTGGCTCAGTTTGTATATCGAAATTGTGAAAGTATAAGTGACAATTGAACTTTTAGAGCTTTGGCCCGAGTTGTGAAATGAGTTGTAAAAGTATAAGCGATAAACGAACCTCTAGAGCATTGGCTCGAGTTGTGAAGTGAATTGTGAAGTAAAATTGAGAAAGAGAAGAGATCCTTATGTTGTCACCTTTGCCGGGCTATTGTTGATTTATTTGTTGTTCACTTGCCGGGATTTAATTGTTTAATCGTTGTTCTCTTGCTGAGATTTAATTTTTTAATTGTTGTTCTCTTGCCGGGATTTAATTGTTTAATTGTTGCTCTCTTACCGGAATTTAATTGGTGACTTGTTGTTCCCTTGCCGGGATTCTTATTACAAAATTTCCTTTATTTCCTTACCCTATTGTTTGTGATTATTTTTTACGTGAGGAAGAGAGTTAAAGTACAAAGGGTGATGTCGTGCATTATTTGTTATTCTGAGGAAAGAGTGTAAAGCAAGAAGGGTGATGCCGTGCCACACGATGTACCATTCTATGCCGATTTTATTGATTATATGGTGAGGAAAGAGAGTAAAAGCACGAAGGGTGATGTCGTGCACATTTTTATTATATGATTGCTTTGGTGAGGACAAGAGTAAAAGCACGAAGGGTGATGTCGTGCACATTTTTATTATATGATTGCTTTGGTGAGGACAAGAGTAAAAGCACGAAGGGTGATGTCGTGCACATTTTTATTATATGATTGCTTTGGTGAGGACAAGAGTAAAAGCACGAAGGGTGATGTCGTGCACATTTTTATTATATGATTGCTTTGGTGAGGACAAGAGTAAAAGCACGAAGGGTGATGCCGTGCATTTATTGATTTCTGATTTTTGTTGATATCTGAGTTGTGTTGTTTCTTTCATTACTTGTTGTTATTTGATTTACTTCAAGATTATAGATCCCCTTAACCTATTTGCCTTGTGATTGTTGTTTGGGTGAGGAAGAGTGTAAAGCACGAAGAGTGATGTCGTGTATTATTTTGGTGAGAACGAGAGTAAAAGCACGAAGGGTTATGCCGTGCAAATTATTGATTTTTGCTTCCTTGTTGATATTCTAGTTATGTTGTTTCTTTCCTTACTTGATGCCTTTTTATTCGGAACTATTATCTCCCCCTTACTTGTGCAATATATATATATATGAATTGCACAGGTTTATTTGGTAGTCTGGTCCTAGCCTCGTCACTACTTCGCCGAGGTTAGGCTAGACACTTACCAACACATGGGGCCGATTGTGCTGATACTACACTCTGCACTGTGTGCAGATCCAGGAGCAGCTTTCGGACAGTAGTTGGAGGGCTTCCTTCAGTCCACTCGGAGACCCACGGTAGACCTGCAGGCGTCCGCAGGCCCTGGCGTCTCCCTCCATCTCTATTTTCTGTTTCATTTCCTTTGTTCAGAAATAGTGTATTGTATTTTCTTCAGACCTTGTATGTAGTAACTCTTAGACAGTCTGTGACACCAGGTTTTGGGGTATTTGAGGTTTTTAAAAGTTCTAATATACGTAGCCTTAAGATATATAATTGTTGATTTCCGCTTATTTATTTAAAATTCCGCTTTTATCATATTATCGACTTGTGTTTTTTAAAAGAAGCAAAAATGAAAGTGCAACAAGTAGTTAAGGTTTGGCTTGCCTAGCTCCCATTAGTAGGCGCCATCACGACTCCCGAGGGTGAGAAATCCAGGTCGTGACATTACCACAATAATAATTTGAGGGGTAATTATCGGGGATTTTATGAGTAAAAGGGAAGGAAATAAATCAATTTAAAATATATAAAAATTATAGAAAAATTATAAAAACTGTTTGCATGCTTATATATGCATATATATATANAATTGGGTATCAACAGTGATAATGGTGGTTTGGACGTGCTTGGGGTAGGATTAATTAATTGTGTTATAAGTGGTATAGGGTTGTCATTATGGTATTATTTTTTATATAGGGTGGGTCCGGTGTAAGGATATGATTTGGCAGTTCGAATTGATTTTGTAGTACAATATTATTGGTTGGTTTTGTGGAGTCATGTGGGGTTAGTGGGTCCGTAAGGTTTTTGGTGGGGGAGTTGGCTTGCTGAGAGTGGTTTTGGTTTTGGAAGGTGGTTTGGGTAGACTGTTTGTCCTTAGTATTAGCAAATTTTTTGTTCTTTGCATAGGTAACTGTTTTCCATTGGCTATGTTGGTCATCTTCACTAGAGGGTGTGTTTGGGTTTTCTTCTGTTTATTTCGAAGTGGAGGGGGTTGAATAAATTGGACAATACTGGAGGTTATGTCCTAAACATCCACATTTTGTACAGATTATAGATGAGTCTTCATAGTAGATTGGTTGAGTGTGTGTACAAAGGAGAATTTTTGATGGGAGGGTTTTACCTAGTGGTGCTAAAATACAAAGTCTGGCATAGCGACCTCTGGATGTATGAACTGTGCATGTGTCAAATTTTATGAGCGTTCCTTATAAAGCAACAATTTTTTGAGCATTTGCATATCATAGTATTCAACGGGTAATTCATGTAGATGGATCCACACAGTTGTGTAGTTTGTATGGGCTAGGGCTGGATTGAATTTGGGTTCCCATTGGCGTATAGTGAGGTATTGAGATCCTATGAACTAAGGTCTATTTTGGAGTATTTTATAAAAAAAATTCAATGCAATGGAATTTGATAAGATAATGTTCATATCTTAAATCTATTAATTGAAGGATTTCATCTAGTTGCCAGTGTGAGCTTAATTTAAGCTTGAGATTTGTGTAAGACATTTTTTTTCCTAGGAGTTTAATGATAATGGCTTGGTGCCAAGGGCTGTAAAGCCTTAATTTATCATTTGAGGAAATTGGGATAAAAAAGGGATGATTAGAGGGATTTGAGCTTTCATCATCTATGATTAGTTTTTTTAAGAATTCAGTTTCTAGGCTGGAGTTGATTGGAGGAGGGGGTGGGAAAGCGTGTCACGAAAACTTACCTTGCTTGTGGGTGGGTTGAAAGGTTGAGTGTTGGTTTCTTTACCTTTGTCTATAGCTTCCTTAGGTTTGTCAATGCTACAATTGAGTTGGTCCTTTTCTTGGTATGTGAGTTCAATTTCCGATGATTCTTCCATGGATTGAAGGTTTTGATTGGGTAATATAGATATGGAAAGGTGGATGTTTAGAAAGGATTTGATTGAATATTGTTCAAAGTGTAGACATATCAATATCAGAAACCGAAGGAATAATTGTTGATAGCCTTTAGCAATGGGTATTTGACATATACATGGCTAAAAATACTTGATTTGCCAACCTTAATTTCTGGCAAAAAATATGCCAATTTTTATAGGATTTTGTCACCCGACGTCAATTTTCCTATAATATATTCTGATTCATTTGCCCTCCTCCTAATAGTTAAAGATAAAGAATTAAATACTCTCTTTGTTTTTTTCTTTTCCTACAAAACTGCGGTAATGTTATGAGAGGAAAAGGAAAGTTTTTCTTATGAGTCAAATTTTAGTTTTCCTTGGTAAACAGTCAAAATGTAATATAACCTGAAGCCCCCAAGTCAATTATTCGAAAATTTTAGATTACTGAAGGCCACTCAAATACTAATTCATCACAATTTTTAGGTTGTACAAACTACATTGGCAAAATTATTAAGTACTCAATATTCTTCTATCCTTAACCAAAAATTTCAAGTGTAAGCTCAGAATATAAAGTTGTTTTTGGTTAAAAAAACACTTTATAGGTAACATTTCGACGTAAAATCGAATTAATCAAATCTCAAAGAGTATTTAACACCGGGTGAGGAAGGATAAAAAACACATTGACACATAAGATAAAAAATTAAAAAGAATAATGGTAAGAAAGTAAAACAAATAGCAGCCTATCAATTACAAAATCAAAACCAAAAAAACAAAAGGAAGAAGAAAGAACTAAACCTCCTCAAGGAGGTTGATAAAAATACAATATATACCACCTTCCTACTTTCTATTTTACAAAAATTAGATAAATTACAACACAACAGGAAACTAAATCTCTTTTGATCAAGAATACAAAACCAAACGCCTAGAACAGAGAGTACAGATATACTTCCTCTTGAACCTAAAGCAAATGGGGAGAAAGCAAAATCTGAGACGTCCTTCTACATCGACAGCTTGTACTTTTCCTCCACAGTAAGGACATGCCCCTGGTGCTACTTTTCTTCCTAGCTCATTTTCTACTTCATCCCAAATACATGGGAAGAATAAACACATCCTCTTAATTTTTTATTTCCTCACTTTTGATCGTACTGAAATTGTTCTTTTACATTTTGAGAAGGTTTGGCCAAGAGGGGATGGTGTTTATACGATGTTTTGGCGAGGTCTTTGAAGGAGAGGAAGTAAGAAAATTTGATTAATACATAAGTCTACCTGTGCGTTTTAACCGGGTCTAGGAATATCCGTAAAATTTTCGCCGGTTGTGCCTTTTTTAGATCAAATATTTAATAAATATTTTTCTTTTTATTTCACTTGTGTTTGATGGACCTTTTAGATCTAAAGATCATTTTAAAGCAAATTAAAAAAAAATCTTATGAAAATATGTTAGACCGTGATCTATAATTTAGTAAATTATTGCAAATGTTAGTCCACCATCTAATATTTTGTGAGCAAACTGAAATTTTTTTTTTAGCAAACATTTGACCCTAGTCTAACGTGTTCAAAAGGAAAATTTTCTTGAGGACTCTGAGCAAAATCTAAACAATGACATAAGAAGGGAACATTTGCCCAAATCAGTCGAAAGATTCGTTGCAGGAAGTTGAACGAATATTAAAGTAAAGCCAAATTCCAAGACCGTGAGTCGCATTATTGTTTTAATTCTTTTACAACAACAACATACCTAGTAATATCTCACACTATAAGGTCCGGAGATGATAGTATGTACGCAGACCTTACCACTACCTTGTAAGGATAAAAAGACTGTTTTCAATAGACCATCGACTCAGGAAAGCATAAGCACCATATTAATGAAAATATAGACAAGAAGGGGCAGTATCAAAAAGCCATATAAAAGCAGAATAAAAACAACAAGACAGTAAGGTGATCAACGATAAAGAAAACAACGGTTAGTCATAAAAATTGATTTACTACCAACAAAAAGCGAGACAACATGTCAATACTACTGTTATGAACACTCTAGATTACCTACTCTACTACCTTAATCTTCGACCTCCATATCTTCCTATCAAGAGTCGTATCCTCGGTCAGCTGAAGCTGTGTCATGTCTTGCCTAATCACCTCACCCCACCTCTTCTTTCGTCTATCTCTACCTCTCCGTAGGCCCTCCAATGTCAACCTCTCACATCTCCTCACTGGTGCGTGTGTGCTCCTCCTCCTCACATAACCAAATCACCTGAGCCGCGCTTCCCGCATTTTGTCCTCAATAGGGGTCGCATCCACCTTGTCGCGAATAACCTCATTTCTGATCCTATCTAACCTTGTGTACCCGCCCATCCATCTCAACATTCTCATCTCTGCTATCTTCATCTTCTGGACATGAGCGATCTTGACTGGCCAACACTCAGCCCTATACAACATCGTTGATCTGACCACCACTCTGTAGAACTTACCCTTAAGTTTTGGTGGCACCTTCGTCACACAAAATACCGGAAGGAATCTCCATTTCATCCATCTCGCTCCAATACAATGTGTGACATCTCCATCAATTTCCCCATCTCCCTGAATAATAGACCCAAGGTACTTAAAATTCCCTCTCCTAGGGATGACCTGCGAGTCCAGCCTCACTTCCCCTTCCGCTCCTTGATTCTCGCCACTGAACTTATACTCTAAGTATTATGTCTTAGTCCTGCTCAATTTGAAACCTTTAGATTCCACGGTTCGTCTCCATACCTCTAATTGCGCGTTCACACCGTCTCGCATCTCGTCAATCAGTGCAATATCATCTACAAATAGCATGCACTATGGCACTTCTCTTTGGATATGGCGCGTCAGTACGTCCATCACTAAAGCAAATCTTATTTTTATTCTATTGACATATTAATTTGTTATTGCATTATGTAAACGCTTAAAGTGAAATAACTTTTTTTTCCTTTCATGTAACACAACACTCAAAATTTACTTGTGAGATTACATTGAATTTATTAATATTAACAAAGCTCAACTAGATGCAGTAGGAATCTTTGTTGGAAAATTAAGAAACCAAAGGTTTGTCAAAAGTATCTTTCAGTACCCTTTCGGAAAAGTTTAGGCTAATTAGAGAATTGACAAAAAATGATAGTATATTATTATTAACTAAGGACTGCATGTTAGGGAAATGTGGAATTAGCTTCTTCTTTTTCTTTTTTTTTTTTGGGGAGGGGGGGTGCATTTGGATGTGACAATTCATTCTTCTTGTTGTTAATATTTGTTTTTTTCTTTTTACTATTACTTGAGACAAAGGGCTATCAGAATGATTCTTTCTATCTTCATAGATACAGGTAAGGTCTGTGTGAATGGCAAAGTCAGAATATTTAATAAGGGTGTTCAAATTTAAAAATTCGTTTGCGAGTAAGCTACGCAAGGGTATTCAGAGTCTATTTTTTAATCAATTACAAGTAATCTTTTACCTTATAAATAGTACTCTCTCTGTTTCAATTTAGATGATACATTTTCCTTATTAGTTCGTTTAAAAAAGAATAACACATTTCTATAATTGGAAAGAATTTAACTTTAAACTTTTTATTTTACTCATTCTACCCTTAATGAGAAACTTTTATAACCACACAGATGGCATCCCCATACAGCTTTTACCCTTTAAACTTTTAAGACCACAAGTTTAAAAAGTAATTTTTTTTTGCTTAAACTTCATGTCGAGTCAAACTACATCATCTAAATTGAAACATAGGGATATAATTTTTCGACAAAGGGTGTCCAGTTGACCATCATTGGCCATATATAACTTCGCCCTTAATTTGCGTACACATTACCTTTCTCAAACCTCAAAAACAACAACAACAACAACAACAACAACAACAACAACAACAACAACAACAACAACAACAACAACAACAACAACAATAACAATACACAGTATTATCCCACACTGTGGGGTCTGGGGAGAGTAGTGTGTATGCATACTTTACCCCTATCTTGTGAGAATAGAGAGGTTGTTTCCAATAGACCTTCGGCTCAGGAAAGCATAAGCTTCACATTAATGAAAATATAGACAAAAAAGGACAATAACAAAAAGCCATATAAAAGTAGAATAAAAACAACAAGATAGTAAGGTGATCAACAATGAAGGAAATAACGATTAGTCATAAAAATCTACTACCAACAGAAAGCGAGACTGCTTGTCAATACTACTGTTATGACACTCTAGACTACCTACTCTACTACCCTAATTTTCGACATTTATACTTTCCCATCAAGGGTCATGTTCTCGGTCAGCTGAAGTTGCACCATATCTTGCCTAATCACTCCTCCCCCTAACCTCTTACACCTCACTTGTAAAAGTACAGTGGATTTTAATTTGTCCTTGTTGTTAGATGTGACAATCGATGCAAGCATCTGTTCTCTTATCTATATTTATGTCACATTATATCTGTTTTATATACATATTATATATTTTCATTGGAGTCCTCGTCCCATTTGCACTATTATTGCAACCCGAGTTTGTTTTCAATTATTATATGGAGATTGAAAAAGAGCTGCTTTTGCCAAAAGCATGCAACAACGTTATACCTACGGCTAACTAGTTACAACCGGTCTGTATAAATCTGAACACAAAAGTATTTTGTTATGGCGCATGCATCATGTAAACTACGGAATAATATACTCTGATGGATGGATAAAGAATTTTTAAATCAATATGGTATTTATTATATAACTTTATTGACGTGCAAATCTAGTCATTTTCCCAAATGGTTATTACACTCTAATACTAATTGCTGATTACTATATGTTTATCTTTTGATACAACGGTTGCATGATGGTATATTGTAGTGATGTCAGGAGTCTATTTATGTTATTTAGCGGTAAAAAAAATCTTGGAAGTCAGAGGCGCAACTAAGATCTAAAGTTTATGATTTCAACATTCTAGTCCTTTTAAATTATTGGATTCTAAATTAATAATTTTTATATACACAATGAATTTTTGAAGACATAAAAAATTTGAACCACAACTATTAGGTTAGAGAGAAGTTAATAAGGGTATGTATATTTGGATTTCATACTTATAACCGAGAGGCTATAGAGACACATAAAAAGTTTTACATATTCTTTCATTTTTATCTGGTCCAATAAAACTTGAAGTAGGGAATTGATGCGCAAACAAACACACAGGAGAAAGATTCAACCCAATATCAGATTTAACAAGAAATGCTAGGTTATTAATAGCTTGTTTGGATGGTTGTTACCCATTGTACTGTATCGTATTATTACTTTAAATATGATGTTTGTTTAGATTGTTACTTAATTATATTGTATCGTATCGTATCGTTAAATCCGTCCTTACGGAACGACGAAATGTGTCATTTTATGTAACGACCGATCTGGTGTGGTCGCATCGTTACCTTGTCTTTTTCTCTCAATCTCGCCCTTCATTATTATTAAATAATTTTATTTTATCATTAACTCTACCTTTTATATAATAATTTCTTCCTGTATCATAATTTTTCTTTATAATATTGCAAGTTTATTCTTCATATTGCTGGCGCATAATATCATGAAACGATATCAAACGACATAATCTTTTTAAACATTGTATTTATCAAACGATATAGTATAATACAATACAGAACAATACAATATATTATGGAACGATACGTAACAACCATCCAAGCTGTAAGAGCAGAATTCCAACGAAATTACTATGAACCCTTGGATTGTATGCTAAACCCATTTACCCACGGGCCCGCCTATAAGAAGATTAAGCCCATTCCAATTCAATCTTCACTTCCTTTGTTTTTGGGCCTACAAATTTTCAGTCATTATTTTATTTTTTCTGAATAAATTATTCTAAACGCCATTATAATATGATTCAGTTGCGTATACAATATTGTATCAGAATTAAAACTCATATATAATTTATAAATTGAACAAATTTATTAATTGCCACTCTTGTATTATAGCATGAGATAACTGAGAATACCAAGAATAACGGATACAACAATGAGGTACAAAACCAGTGAATAGATAAGCATACTTCTCAAACGAAGATAAACAAACACAGTACAACTGCTAAATCCGCATATAAAGATGGTATGCACCAAGTAGCACCTATATGAACACTTCTACATGAGTATATGATGATCGTGTATTCTCAAGACTCAATCATACCAATATCCAGCACATCCCATATGCTCAACTATGATCCAACACGCCCCCACCTGCTCAACATGATACGCGTATCACCTGCGCTCATCGGGCC